GTTAAACTCGTTTCAGAAAGGCGGGGCATAGAGGAGAAACAATAATGTACATTATATGGAAAATAATTAGTTTTTTGATCCTTAAACCGCATAAACTCATTGCATTACACCAAAAACACAAAATAATGTTCTTTTTAGCAGCTTCATATGACCCCTTTAACTAAATATTTCGCTGAAGCACCTTTACAGTCTCAAGTCTTTTTTGTTTGATGCTCTATTTCTGCTGTGCTGCACGCGCTGAATTAAAGTGGCAGCGCATTATTCGCGGTAAAAATTAACATGGATTGACACGGAAATTTAGTAATTACACCATAAATGCATATAATTAAAGTCTACTGTTTCACAGTCAACACATGGCTTTTTGGCTAGATTTAAAACAAGGAAAAGTGCACTTTTAGATAAACAAGGCAATAATATATGGCACTCGTGGTGGTAGTTAAACTCGTTTCAGAAAGGCGGGGCATAGAGGAGAAACAATAATGTACATTATATGGAAAATAATTAGTTTTTTGATCCTTAAACCGCATAAACTCATTGCATTACACCAAAAACACAAAATAATGTTCTTTTTAGCAGCTTCATATGACCCCTTTAAAGTAGCCCAATTGTACCTGGCAACACTGACCTCAGATCTTGGAAATAAATTAACTTTTAAACTGTGAAGTCAATGTGAACTAACAAGTGTGTTCCATGACAAAGCTTGTGTCGGTCACTCAGCATATATTTTAATAATTTTAAAATGTTTTAATATGTATGAATTATGCTGCCTTTACATGCTATCTGAATTATTGTAAATACTGAGTTTACTAGTCGGAAATTGGACATGACCGGCTTCTCAAGTCATATTTCCAACTGGGAAACTTGAAGATAATTTTGATACGCAAGTTTCTAAGTTGGGCGGGTCATAAACGTGAAACCTGACGGAGGAGAGAAACATAGCTGTAATATAGGTTTATTTGTTTTTCCCACAACATCTACATTGCTTTCTCTTGCTGTTACAGTAATGTATATTTACGTATATAAATAAAAATTTTTTGCAAATTGTTTGTATTGTACACAGCAAAAATAGTATATTTGACCAATATTTCAGCATCGTCAGCAAGCTGAATATCTAGATGTTTATAGGGTGTTTTCACAACACTTCATCAATCCGGAAGTCGGCCATATTGGTGGCACTGAACGTAAACAATGCCACTGAACTGAACGGAACTCGTGTATGGGCTTGGCGAAAAAACTAAATAGTTCACTATGACAGGGTAAGAAATAGAAGGAAGAATTGTCAGGTTGTCAGCTCGTACGAATCTTTACCACCTATTAACTTTAGTTTGTCAAAATATCGCACCCTTTCCTGCTTACTAAGTCCTTCTCTATATTATTTAGCTTCCACACGTTTTTTCCGTGGTTTAGACATAATAAATTGGTAGAACAATGTCTTCAATAGTGCATTAGCCATGCAATCCATGCTGTTGTTTACATCCAAGTATCTCCAATATGGCCGCGCATCCGGGTAGCTGTCCAAACCGTGACGTAGGTGCAAACGCTCTATATGGTTACCAATGAATGGGATGCTACATTTTGTTAAAAATCTGCTTGATATTGACTAAATATTTCCTATACCTTTTGACTTTAGAAAGATTTTCGCAATAAATGGACATGAATGAGCCATCCTCCAAGACTCTTGTTCTTTTTGACAACAAAGTACTTAAACACGAACTCGTAATTACAGCTTCAGAAGTGGGAAATGGGAAATTTTTGAAAACATGTGAAGGCACCATTGATACTCGAGTTTCCGAGTTGGGCGGGCCATAAGCTTAAAACTAGGGATGCGCCGATCCGATATTCATATCGGGTATCGGCTCCGATAGTGCCATTTTTCTCGGATTGGGTATCGGTCAGAGAGGGCCGATCCAAATCCGAGATTTTTTATTTTTTTCCCCGATTGTGCGAATTATTCTGTGTTACTTCTGAAGCCATACGATAGCTTAATGTGAGCTACATATGAATATATAAATTCTACATTTATTTAAATGGGGGGAAAAAAACTTTACTGGTATCGGATCGGTATCGGTATCGGCCAATACGGAACCCTGGGTATCGGAATCGGTATCGGAGGCGAAAAAGGTGGATTGGAGCATCCCTACTTAAAACATGGCGGAGGAGGGAACCATTGCTTTGACTGTTAAGTTTTATTAGTTTTTCCCACATCTACAGTGCTTTCTCTTGCCGTTACAGTCATGTATATTTATGTAGGCTATATAAATAATAATTTGATGCATATTCTTTGTATTTTACTCAGTGAAAACAACATTGATTTGACTGAAACTTCAGAATCATCAGCAAAATGACTAAAAAGATGTTTATAATATGGTTGTCAACAAATGAGACCACATTTTATTCAAAATCCATTGGATATTGGTTTAACATCTTCAATACATTTAGGCTTTTAAAAAGAGATAGATAAAAAGTTCTCTCACCATAGTGTGATATGTAAATATGTTACACATCTAAGGTCAAGGAAGTGCATTCTCTGAGCATTTCCTGTTTCAAGAGGTCGGAAGTAGTGTACAGACTGTCTGGCGAATCGCGATAACATTAAAACTAAAAATACTGAAAAGACGGTCTAATGGGAAGGGGATCACATTATGGAAAACAAGGTCTGGTATTTACATTTTTTCATCAGTAAGGCATTTTCAGAGCGTTGAGAAGATATGCTTAATATGCTTACTTTCACATCCGGCCCTGGTGTGAAGATATGATGTCACTAAACGATTTTAGTGTTGTAGAGACTGATTTGTTTGTAGGGATTAATCTATAATATTACTACTAGTGATTTATTCAGGTTATTAAGCAGTATGTGACAGGTTAGCATGATGTGAAGAGCATCAGTGGGAGATGCTGGACAGTGTGACTGTAGCTGTTTGGAAAGCTTGGGTCATTAGGGAGTTGTTTGTGGATGGCTAAGAGCGTCTGGTTCGCTGATGATTGCTCTAAATGGATGGCACCTCAATAAAATAAACTGTCAACACACACACACACACACACACACACACACACTGCATGCTTATTATGAGCCAAGACCTGCATTGGTTAATGGTTACTATAGTGTAAGTAGTGAAGTCTCAAGGGGGTTTAGGGCGGCAACAAAAATGTATCTCAGCCAAAGGGCCAATAACAGAAAACACTAACAAAAATATGTAGTGCATTTTTTTTTCTCTTTTGCAAATAAGGGATCTCAAACATATATAGAAATATACAGTGTAGCCCCCAAAATACACAAATGTTTAAAAGTTTGTGATCAATAAGATTTTTATTGTTGGTGTTGAAAGAAATACTTTATTCAGCAATGACTTGATCAAAAGTGACAGTAAAGACATTTATAATTTTACAAAAGATTTTTATTTCAGTTTATTTAAACTTTTTATCGCTGAAAATTATATTATATAACTTAAGCTGCACAACTGTTTTCAACATTAATAATAATACTTTTTTTCTTGAGCAGTAAATCAGCATATTGGAATGATTTCTGAAAGATCATGTGACACTGAAGACTGGAGCAATGATGCTGAAAATTCAGCTTTACCATCACAGGAATAAATTGTAAATTATAAAATAAATAAATGTACATTTTTAAATATACTAAAATAGAAAACATTAAATTACAATAATATTTCAAAGTATTACTGTAATTATGATCAAAATAAATGCAGCCTTTATTACCATAAGAGACTTCTTTCAAATCTTAATGTATGAACATTATGGTAGAGAAATATGAACAACAAAACACCTTTCAAGCAAAACATTTTACAAAATTATATTTGTTGGGTTTAAAATATTGGAACAATGGATGTATTGTTCGAAAAATATTGCTCTAGAATCATTTGGAAATCACAAGCATTTCTTTTGCACTATGATTTGTTTGCCCCTTGGTTTGATGTCTGATCATTACTGTAACATTAATACATTTTTAAGTATCCAAAGGTGTTCAGATACTGTTTTGGAGCATGTATAAACAAAAAGTAAATTCTTTAAAGCAATTCAACAAAAAGGAAAAATATAAATAAATAAATTGAATTGTTTGGAGCAGCATGCTTCAGTAAAGGGCCTTGAATACAAAAGTTTCTTAACATTTACTTCAGCCACTACAGGATGCACTTCCTCAGCCCAACCTGCTTCTCTAAATAAACACTGCGGCTTTGCCAAATTCACACTTGGCCGAGTGAGGCATTGCACACATGACTGAAGACATCACAAACAAACACATTCCAAATATTCAGCCCAGTTAGACAAATACACCACAGCATAGGCCTATGCCTGATTATTCAGCTTTCTAGCTAACGCTCGTCTCGTCTAATGTGACATGTAAATACTTTGAAACATACCAGTTTCAAGGTTGCTAAATACCCTTTTACCCAGTCTAATGTCGTAACAAACTAAGCAGAACTAGGCTTATCTACATAGCGTTTCACTTGAGACAATCAGAAGGAATTTTTTTTTAACTGAGTTAACCCTTTATTGATCAGTGGAAGTGATTCATAAGACTTTAACACTCACTAACAGAGAGAACTCCAGAGAATGGTGTTAGGAGCCGGCAAGTCATGCCCTATAAAACCCACTACTTCGACTGGGTGGTAGAAATGTGACAGTAGAAATTGCTATGCCGCTTATGCAGTGGTAGATATATTTGTGCTATTATCTGTTGGCAGGACTGCTTTACAATGTCTCTACATGTGATTAAAGTGCAGGAACAAATGTACGAAATTGGATATTTCTGATCTTTTCTGTTTATTAATGTGAAGCTACAGAACAATCTGTATTCTAAATAAAGCACTAAATAAATAATGGTGAATTGGCTTGACTATACTGCAGCCCCAGCAACATCAAACAGGACTCCAATCTGAATTCATAGTTGTTGTTGTTTTTTTGCATAATCTAATGGTATTTTGTATGTTTCTATTCTTTAAAAAAAAAATTCTGTCCATCAAACATAAAATAATCAAAGATAAAGTACCTTTGAAAATGAAAATTCACTGGATTATTCAAAAGTCGACAACATGTTTTTTTCACAGAATTTTCATGATTCAAATTACCCATATCATGAAATTGCCCAACCCTACCACACACACACTCACTGTGTTCCGATTGATAAATAAAAAGGAAGTTATTATATTTTGTTTCTGGAGATGCCCACAAATGACATAAATAAATGCACAATTTTAACGTCTTCACAGGTGAGCCAAGAAAATTTGACCCAACATTTAAAGGCCCGATTTATAACAGGTGAGACAACCTTTATAAGCCAAATGTAATGATTAGAAACCATTTACATATGTATCTGAGACCAGTGTTAGTGTCATTTATTATACTATTATAGTTTTTGTTAATATTTTGAATTAGATTTTATTTTTATATTTTCTGTTTTCACTTTAATTTTAAAGTCTTTGTTTTTTTGTCTTTTTTTGTTCTTTTATGTTTATATAGTATTTAATGATTTTTATTTATAAGTTTTAGATTATTTTGTTTCCGTTATTTTAGCACTTAAACTAAATAAAAATGAGAAATGTTGCAACTAACTGAAATAAAATCTTTTTGTATATTTTATTTCAGTTAATGTTCATGGTGTAATTTTTTTTTTTTCAGGTAATAATGTTTTTTTTTTATGGTTTTATTTTTAGCTAACGGTATTAACCCTGTCTGAGACGCATCTAATGGCAATGATTCTTTTAAACCTTTTCACATTTATGTAATCTCATAAACTTCCATGTCATGATTTGTGTAGTGGCACTGAATGTGTGTGCTTTTCTTGGTGAACAGGGGCTGCACAGACATTCTCTGTTGTATCCTGTTCATCTTGGCCTTGCTGGGCTACTTTGCAGTTGGGATTCTGGGTAAGTTTCAGCCTATTCATTTTCACATTTCTATGCCCAGTGCCATGTAGATGGGCAGAAAGTATTAAACCATGTCCATTTCCAAAGACAAGTCTTTCCATAATGACAGTGTTGTATCTTTTGTTATAGCATGGTCTCAAGGTGACCCTCGGAAAGTGATTTACCCGACAGACAGTAAGGGTCAGTTTTGTGGACAGGTCGGCTCCCCACTTGAGTGAGTAAAGCTGTTTCTTTGAAAACTCACCTAGACATGACTTTAAATGCAGTTCTGTCAGGACCACTATCGTCAAAATGATAGATACTTAGCATAAAGTTTGGTTTGGCGGTATGGTTCTGTTCTGGTCAAAAAACTCCCTGCCCATCCATGCAGCCTGTCATGAATGAGCAGGGAGAGCAGCAATAATAACCCCCCTAGGGTTAACAGAACAGAACAAGGCAGATATCATTAATGTACTTAATGATATTTAAGTGTAACACTTTATTCAAGATAAAGGAGTCTGATTAGCAAGGAATATCAGAAAGGCCAGAACTAACGCTAACGCTTAATTTATGTGATTAAATTGTGAAATAGGTTCTTAGTCAGACATATCTTTCTTGGCTTAATCTGTCTGAATAATCAGGAAGAAGCCCCTGCTGTTCTACTTCAACATCATGAAGTGTGCCAGTCCTCTGGTCCTGCTGGAGTTTCAGTGTCCCACCACTCAGGTTTGGCACAGTTTCGGTTAACCTCTTTTTGCAGTACAATATGTATCTGTAGTGTTTGTCGCACACTGGCAATACAGCATGCTATAGCACTTTTGTTTTTATGTTCATTTGACAGATCTGTGTGGAGAGATGTCCCGATAAATTCATGACTTTACTGAAAGCGTTACGAAATGAAGATGATAGGGAATACTACAAGCAGTTCTGCAAGGAGGGAGTAGACATGACCAAGGTGAGTTCTGGACAGGAAAGAAAACGTTTTTGCCTTGAATTCCCAGTAAGAATTAAGATACTATGATAAAAAGGATTACAATAGATCACATTGTGGTCATACTGCCCCTGCCTAGTTTTAGTAATACATGGATTTCAAGATCCTTGAGCAACACGCTTAATCCTAAATTGCTTCACAGAATTATTCCCTTCTTTTTTCCAGAGAGCTCCTGAAATCCTGAAGGATGGCTTGTGCCCTTCAATACTCACACCTAGCAAGAATTGTAAGCCTTTGCATCTTTCAAAACATGTTTGTGATATCATATAAATTACAATTTAAGTTCTGTTACATTAAAATGATGAACTTCACCCTGTGTTTCAGTCACACGGAGATGCTTGCCCGCTCTAGAGACCTTGAAAGGTGGTGTTGTTGTGGTTGGCAACGAAACGACGTTCAGAGATGATTATGCAGGAGAAAATATAAATGCAACAGATCTCCTTGAAGCCTCAAAGTTAGTAATATTATTTGTTAGTTAGTATCTGTTTGTGTTTGTGCTTTATATTTAATATAATCAGTGTTATTTTAGTATAATTGAGATACTGGTAACACTTTAGTTTAGGGACCAATTCTCACTATGAACTAGTTGCTTATTAGCATGCATATTACTAGCATATTGACTGTTTATTAGTACTCATAAAACACATATGAATGCCTTATTCTGCATGAACATATTCTACATCCCTTAATCCTACCCCATACCTAAACATAACAACTACCCTACTAACTATTAATAAGCAGCAAATCAGAAAATAAATAAATATATGTAACATTAAATCTTTCTTCAAGTAGGTATCAATTTGTGCACTTAAATGAATGATAATATGGATCTGCATTCTTTGCCACTTTTAGTTTTCATGACATTCTACTCTGTCCTGTCCCCCTTTGTCGCCACACAGTGATTATCCTGTGTATTGTGGAAGTGGTCATCATCCTTCTCCTCATCTTCCTCAGGAAGAGGCTCCTCATTGCTATTGCTCTCATCAAAGAGGCCAGCAAGTCAGTCTACCTTCTTACTGTAGAGCAATCAGTATTTTTAGACGTTGCTGGTGTTGTTTGGTCTCATATTCCATATGACTGCTTTCTTTGGGTACTCTAATAACATTAGCAGTTAAACAGCAGTGTTTTTCTCAGTGTGATGGATTAACTGTAGCTTAAAGTCATGAAATAATAATTAGGTTAATTGGGAGTGTTAGACAGGAAGCCCTAATAACCACATCTATTTTTCAGGGCCATCGGTCATGTGATGTCATCACTGTTCTACCCACTGCTGACGTTTGCCCTACTGTCTTTGGTCATCGCATACTGGGCCATCACCGCTGTGTATCCTAAAGAAAAACTAGACATAGGCATCAATAACTTCAATTGTTCACTGTTAGTATTTTGCGGTTTCATTACCCTAAATGTTGATAAAATGTGAATGTAATGAATGTAATTAGGTTTCACGCAAACAGGATATCCTTAACTATTGATTAGGTTTTTGTCCACTTCCAGTGCTTCCAGTGACAAGGTTTTCAATACAACTGAGTGCATGTATTCCAGAGACACCTGCAAGCCTGAGGTTAGTGTCTTTTAATGCTAACTTTGCAATGTCTCTACATAAACGTCAGTTTTATTTTGCAATATGTTGAACAGTAGTGTATGTCTTATTTGCTATAGCATATTTTACAGATCAATGCTTGATAAAATGCATACATTTCATAAAGTTGCATTGATTTGATTCTCTCCACAGACTTTCAACAGCTCAAATATCACCAC